ATGAGCATGAAATCCTTCGTACTTTGAAGGTACCTCATCACTTTCTTTGCAGCTTTCCAGTGGTCAACACCTGAATTACTCTGATATCTCCCTAACACTCCAATAGCATATGGTATGTCAGGTCTGGTGCTAATCTAAGCATACATAAGACTTCCGATTGCTGAAGCATAAGGGATATTTCTCATGTGTTCCCTTTCAAAGTTATTTTTGGACACTGACTCAAATCGAGCTTGTCACCCTTCACAATAGGAGCTACAGTCGGTGAACAATCTTTTATATTAAATCTTTCTAGAACTTTCTTAATATAGGCTTCTTGAGACAAACCCAAAATGCCTCGATTTGAATCTCTATGAATCTTAATGCCAATAAAATAAGATGCCTCTCCCATATCTTTCATAATAACATCCCTTTATCATTAGTCGCAAGAAGAAAATCATCCACGTACAACACAATGAAGCAAATACGACTCCCACTAACCTTCTGGTATATGCAATGATCCATGACATTTTCTTCAAAGCCGAATGAAGAGATAACATCATAAAATTTCAAATACCATTGGCGGGAGGCTTGCTTCAATCCATATATACATTTATTAAGCTTACAGACTAAATTTTCTCCACCACTAGAGGTAAATCCTTCAGGTTGTTTCATATAAACCTTCTCCTCTAAATCACCATTTAAGAATGTCGTTTTCACGTCCATTTGATGTAACTCAAAATAAAACTTAGCTACTAATGCCATGATCACACGGAGAGAATCTTTCTTAGATACCGGAGAAAACATTTCGGTGTAATCGATTCCTTCCCTTTGAGTGAATCCTTTGGCGACAAGTCTTACTTTATGTCTTTCGATGTTGCCATTAGAGTCTATTTTGGTTTTGAAGACCCATCTGCATCCAATGGCTTTTACATTATCAGGCAACTCAACAAGATCCCAGACTTTGTTTGATGCCATAGAGTCCATCTCGTCTTTCATAGCATCTTGCCAAAAATTGGATTCTTTAGAATTCATGGCCTGTGAAAATGTTTCAGGATCATTTGCGGCTTCTACATTATAGTCTAATTTTTGAAGATACACCATAAATTCACTAGAAATTGCTAGTTTTCTGACTTGTGTAGATCTTTTCAATATTGTTTCATCATTATCATAAAGAACTTGTTGACCAACTGATTCATCACCAGGTTGTTCAACATTTTCTTGATGTTCTTTATTAACAACTCGATCTACATGATCATTTTCAACAACTTGTGGAACTTCATTAGTTAATCGTCTAACAATCGATGAAACTTGAGAAGAGTGGAAGACAATCAATCTATCACTCGAATAAGTAGGTTGAGCTCTATAGTGATCTCTTTCAGAATGAGTATCTTGGAAATGGTCACTCCCACTAATCAAGTCATTCTTGAAAAATTTAGCATTTCTCGATTCCACAATTCTAGTGCTATGAGATGGACAATAGAATCTATATCCTTTGGACATTTCGGCATATCCAATGAAATACCCACTAATAGTCCTTGGATCTAGTTTCTTTTCTTGTGGATTATAAATTCTCACCTCAGTCGGGCATCCCAAAACATGTATATGTCGCAAACTCGGTTTCCAACCCTTGAATAATTCAAAAGGTGTCTTTTAGACAACCTTGGTTGGTACCCGGTTCAATATATACACAACCATCTTTAGTGCTTCAATCCACAAGAATTGAGAAAGTTTCACATTACTCCTCATACTCTTGACCATGTCCATTAATGTTCGGTTTCTACTTTCTGAAACACCATTTTGGTCCGGAGAACCAGACATAGTGTATTGGGCAACAATTCCATTTTCTTAAAGAAACCTTGCAAATGGACCGGCAACTTGTCCATTTTCTGTGTATTAGCCGTAGTACTCACCACCTCTATTAGATCTGACGATTTTAATTTACTTTCCACATTGTTTCTCTACTTCAGCCTTGAAAACTTTAAAGGCTTCTAAAGCTTCATCCTTAGAATGAAGCAAGTAGAGATACATGTATCGCAAATAATCGTCAATAAAGGTAATGGAGTATCTCGGACCACTTGTAATCATGTTTTGACAACAAATGTCTGTATGAATAATTTCTAGAAGATTTGAACTCCTTTGTGCACAATTTATGGACTTGTTAGTTTGTTTGCCTTTAATGCAATTCAGAAAAGTCTCGAAATCAGTGTAATCTAGGGTACTAAGTATCCCTTCATTCACTAATCTCTTAATAATGTCAATTCAGATGTGTCCCAATTGACGATGCCATAACATATACGAGTTCTCATTCATAACACATCACTTTAAACTAGCCGTGACATACAATGAATCAAAAGTAACGTTGTTTTGCAATTTAATTGAATAAAGACCATCATTTATTTCACCACAACCAATAGTTCTAGATTCAAAATCCAAAATCAAACTAGAATCCATGAAGTGAAAAGAAAATCCCAAACATGATAGTCCCGATACAAAAAGTTAAAATTTTTGAAAAACTAGGAACATAAAAAGTCTTTTCCAATGTCAAAACAAAACAACTACTCAGCACTAAACTGCACGTCCCAATGGCTTCCACAGGTGAACGGATCCGACTGCCGGAATAGAGGAACTGTGCACTTCCCATTGGTTTCCTTTAGGCTTTCCATACCCTGCAAGGTATTGGAAACATGGATTGTAGAACCAGAATCAATCCACCATGTGTTATAATTAATATTAACCATATAGATTCATAACAGACAAATGCAGTAAGGATACCTGTTTTCGAGCCAGGTTTTGAACTTGATGCAATCTTTCTTCATGTGTCCTTTCTTTTTACAGGAAAAACAAGTATACTCCTTCTTTATAACCCACTCGGATGGAACAGGTCCTTTCCCCTTTGCATCATACTTTCTTTTCTTGCCATGAACCGTCAGGTTTACTTTTTCACCTTCCTCCATCAACAGTCTCTCATTCTCTTGGACACACGTGGTCATCAATTCATTGATGGTCCATTTATCTTTATGTGTGTTGTAAGATATCTTGAATGGACTGTATTGATGAGGCAAGGTGCACAAAATGGAGTGGACAAGAAAGGCTCAAACATGGTCACCTCTAAGCTTCTCAGCTATGCCACAATCTCCCGCATACGCATTATGTGCTCGCGCACACCCCTCACACCGGTGAATCTTATGGTGGAGAACTGAATAATCAGCGTGCTGGCAAGAGCCTTATCAAACTTGATGGATTGTTCATCAATAGCCTTCAAAAGCTCTCTGAAATTATTATGTTGATCGATGGACGCACAGATACCAGCACATATCTTGGTCTTTATGAGCATCATGGGAAAACAGTTAGATCTCTCCCATCGCTCATAAAGATTTGTCTCATCTGGCTCGCTGGTTTCAATAATACCCAGCGGCTTGTCTTTTCGAATAGCATAATCAATGTTCATCCAGACTAAATGAAGGAGAATCATCTTCTTTCAAATTTTGTAATTATCATAAGTCGATTCGGGAATATCACACTTAATATCAGAGAAATTCATAGGATAATGCTGCAAAATTAAATATACATGCTCATCAATAAACTAGATAAATAAATTACATGTTGTACCAATTTAAACATGTTAAGACATGAATCTAAAGATATAAGACTTGCATTTGGGCCAAAGTTATACTCAGTTAGATTCAAACAAAAACTAACAATAAAACTATCAAATTGCGTTCATTTTCTTAATTTCTGTTGGTAGATTAAGAAATATAATTTGATATTTTATCCTAATTACTCATATAAATATAACAAGACTCCTGTAGGTAGATTTCATCACATTTTACATGATAATTACAATTGACGTTTACTAACGTGATTTCAAATAAATCATAAATAAATTTTAATTAATCGAGGATGTGGTAATTCCCTAATTAATTAAAATTTGAATAAATCACAAACATCATTAACATAATGCAAAATCCAAACCATGCAAATATAAAAAAAAAAATGAACAGCATGCAAATATAAAAAAAAAATGAACAGATATGTATACTCGATGGAATGAGAATAATGCATGCATAAAGGTCGGACTAATTCATAATATCATACTTCTGCAAATTTATGCTTCAGAAAGATGTGATGGATTCTGAAAAACATAATTAATATATCAGACATGTATTGCAAATAATTAAGCCAGCCAAACTATTTGCAGATTCGTTCATTTAGACAAAGATTCAACATTCTCCCTAACGCATATAAATTAAATAAAGATAAATTGCATACAAAAACATTTCGAAATAATGAGAATGTGGTCACGGGATGCATAATCCAAATTCATAATACTTGACCCCTATTTTCAAACAATCAAACCACTGTGTCTGTACACAATTAGATTCGAAATAGAATACCAAAATTAATTAACCTAACACAGATGTTGGTTTGAAGTAGACAACTCACACAAATAATATAATAATGAAAATAAGTGAATTATCATTCAAGATCAAGCAGTATCTATCTTGCGGCTAAACGAGTGGTTGTCCTTGTTTCTTTTTAAATAATCACAGATTCATCCATCCAGACATATCGACTTTTATATAGCTTACACTACAAAATAATAATAATAATAATAATAATAATAATAATAATAATAATAATAATGGCTATTTGTAGCGAAATTTGACCAGCTACAATTTTTTTTGTTACAAAAATTATTTTTTGTTTCAGATATTTTCATAACAAATGAATTTTTCAGTTTGATCAATATTTTTCTTTTGTTGCCGTATTTTTTTCATTACAATTACAATAATTTCAAATAATATATCATATATCATATATATATATATACATATATAATACTTATATATTAATATATACATGTTGAAATTAAAATAATTATTTATTTAAAATTAAAATTATTATATATAATTAAAAATTAAAATTAAAAATAAAATTTCAAACATTGTAAAACAAACCTTTGAGCGCCGCCCCTCCCCCAATTCTCGTTTATTTTTTGTTTTATTTGTTCTTCTTCACAACAAAATTAGTACGGATTTTTGGGAAGACAATTTTTTCCTTCGCAAATACGAAAAGAATTCCAGAAGGAATTAAACTTGGATGGTTCTTTAATTTTTATTTTTATTTTTTTTTTAATTTTTCGCAAGCCTGCCCTAACCCATTTTTAATCCTTCAATTCCAACAGCTGTCTGCGATTCTCTCTTTTTGGGTGACGGCGACTCATCCCCCAATTCAAACCAGCTCGTTTGTGATTCTCTCCTCTCTAGCAACCGGCGACGGCTGGTGCTCAACCACAGTCTGGATTCTGGTAAGTTCTTTTATAATATTTTCTGGTCAGTGAAAATCTACTCCTGTAGTTGTTATTTCTAAAAATCAGTTGTCCGGGTAATTTTTGGAAAATTTTAGTTCTTCCGGTGTTGCTTTAGTGAAAATCAACATGCTTATTGGTCTAATTGTTCTGCTTCTGTGTGTCCGGGCTGAGTTCTGTTTTATTCGAGTTATTTATGGAGCTGAGTAAATCGATTTTGTTGTTGTTGTGATTAACCTCCACTATTTCTAGTTAATTTCTAGTCTAAATCGATATTGCCTAAAATTTAGTAGCTTAATCGAACTCTTTGAAAATCAGAAAGTGTTTTTACTAGAGCTTAAGAATTTCTTGATGTTCTTGAAATAATTATCTAGCCAATTCCGAATTTTTTTTCTTTTTTGGTTTTTTGGAATAGATAATTGAATCTTGTGTTGAATCCAAATTGATTTCAACTATATTATGAATAAAAAAGAAACTTAAAAGTTACAAATAATGAAACAAATCCCATGGTTTGATACTACGATTCTCCTCGACAGCTGAACTTGGAGATCCTTGAAGTTGATCATATGTCTGACTTTTTAAGATCATAATTTAAATCAATTTGCTGCTACTCCCTGTTTTTTATTTATTTTTATTTTTTATGTTATGATCAACACTCCGAAAGTTTCATAAACTAGAGCTCTGAAACTGCTTTGGTTGCTTGAAACTGCACTGTTTGCTATGAAATCTATTTGAATTGGTGGATCTGTAGTTCTATGCCTGTGAATACTCAAGTTTAACATCTTACACTAAAAAGGTTATTTATAGCTTACAAGTGTTAGTTTTTCACATATTGATCAACATTGCATTGAAAGTATTGAGATTGAAACTTGTCTTTTGTGTGTAATTTCTAGGCCAACTAGTATGCTAATTATTTTTCTGTTGAAATTATTGAGCTTACACATGAATTGATGCTTGTTTTAGTTTGGTTCGTTAACCAATTTATCCCTACTTCAAAATTTGTCTCAGAACATGATAATTTTCATTTCAGAAAAACTTACAGGGCTGTTTTAGCATTATCTTAATTGCACGTAGTAAGATTTGTGTATCTGTTCATTTGATTTCATTCAGTGAACTAAGAAGTTGAAAGTTTTTCAAAATGTGTGAACAAACATGACAAAAATAACAAGTGCTGAAACAAGTAATAATAATATTGCTACCTACACCAATTGTAGATGATGTAATATAGTCTGCGTGATTGTGAGACTGCAGATGCAAAATGGTCCCTTTCCTTTGTACTCAAGTTTGTGGAATCATTATTTGATAGTGAAACCTTAATTAGAGATTGCAACATCCAATTTAATTTTACAGCAAAAGGAATATTGGATATAGGTGGAGCAATTGGTTCATTGAGTTTATTGTAGGCACCATGAACAATATCTCGCAACCGCACTCTTCGGAGGTATTTTCCATGAATTGGTTTTATATTCTCTAATAGTTTTTTTTCCCTCTCTGATAACAATAAATGCATTATGAATAATTTTTTATTGATCTATCAGAGAGAAAACTGTATATGTATAGCTTTCATTTAATATAAATAATTATTCTTTATTATGAGCTTTGCTTGCATAAGATGGAATTAGTAAAAATAATTTATTCATGTGAGGGTGGGAATTCATGGGTAAAATAATAGACTTATCTGTGCATTGCATCCTGCCACCTTTTCCTAAAACCTGTAGATATTTCTTTTTATTCTATTTTATTCCGAAAGAACTTGAAGATGAAAATTTGGTTGTTGAATCGATACATGTTTAAGTTGGTTGTTTAAACAAACAACTTTCATATGTATAAAATAAATTGATTATACTGCTTGTTGTTTTATAATTGTGATGTTGTACGGATGTTGGTCCGGGTGTCATCAAGATAGGGTATATGCCATAATTATATTTATGTTATTCTATATTTTACAATTTTACGTATGCTAAAATGTTTGAGTTAATTTCTTTAATATTTTATAACGATTAAATATTTTGTGAGTTGCTTTTTATTTTCGATGATATGCGCATGTTTTCTTTATATGTCCGTAGGTGATACCATTGACATAGTGAAGGTTTTTGTCATGGCTGCTACCGTTCCGGTGGCCGCGCTCATTTTACAGACGATACCTAGAGTACAAATACTCGGTGAGGTTGTCCGCATTGAGCCAATCGACTGGATATTCAAAGATGTATGTAATCATATTTATAAGACTTTCTATTAGATTATAATTTAACCATCTTGCAAGTAAATTCTTATGTAATTTGGCAGCTCACTTATTGCCCGTAACTGTCATGCATGTTGATTGTTCTATAATTGTGTCGTTGTATGGATGTTGCTCAGGGTGTCATCAAGATAGGGTCCATGCTATAATTCTATTTATTTTTTTTTCTATATTTTGTTGTTTTTACATTTGTGTCATCAAGATAGGCTCCATCTCGACTAAATTCTTATATACTTTTGCACTATGTTTCCAGCTTGTTCGTCGTCCGCAACTGCCGTGTACGTTCAATTTGACGTGATTCTATGATGATTAAAATTTGTTTGTGGATTGATGCTGACCTCCTTTCCGTTGTTTGAACTTGCATTTTCTATTTTCTTTTGTATGTTTGTTTTTATGCTTTGTCGTATATGTTACGCCGAATTGCGAAGTAGTTATGTTCCTAGACAGTACGTACTTAGTGCAATTGATATTTTATGTAATATTCTTATATTTTATAATGTCGTTTGGGAGTGTTTTTCATATCGTACAGGTTTTTATTGAAAGAATAAGAATATTTTTTTGTTACGAAGTTGTGGTCGTTACAACTACCGTTACAAAAAGTTTTAATGTTGTTTTAAATAGTTTTCTGACAATAAGCTATTGTAACAAAAATTATACCGTAACAAGTGCCGTTACAAATAGATGATCATTTAATGTAACGGTTCTTTTATTACGAGAAATATCTGTTACAAATTCATCGGAAATTCAAAGTTCGCGTTACAAAAACAGTTACAATAAGTGATTAAGAAGTGCGTTGACCGTCCACTTTTTGTAACGAAAAAAGTTGGTACAGAGACTTTTTGTAGCTCGAGTATATGCACCGGAAAATCCGGTACAAAATCGTTAAAAATAGCTTTCTATAACAAAAAATGGCCATTTGTAGCGGTTTTGTAACCGCTACAAATAGCCATTTTTTTTGGTAGTGTTACTTTCCCCAAAATCAAATTCTTCTTACAAAGGGATGAGACTTCATTAAACGCAGGGTCAGATCTCGACCAAGAAATTTTTCGAATAAAAATTAAAGCAAATATTTGATCAAGAATCCCGTAAAAAGAAAATTCAAAGCAAGGAAAAAGGTAGAACTTGACTCTAATACCAAATGTTAGAAATAATTAAATTTCTACAAAATAATTTAAACATTAAATTCATATTATAACTAATCATTCTTAAATCAAATAAATTAGCGGAAGCAAATACGATAATTAAACAAACCTCCAACTATTGCTACAATCAAATTATGCGCTTTAGGTATTTTTCTTCAAAAAGCTAGTACGTTGGAACCCTAGGAAGGCGTTAAGAAGGCATTAGGAAGGTGTTGCCAGATCCTTGCTCTCAAGTAGCGATGATGTATTCTAATTTCTGAGAGTAGATCTAGTAACCCGTATGTGATAATATTTATAATTAAAAAGAAAAACCGTAAATCATAATTTTTCTGCCACTTCTCACGTAAATTCTCAACATGATGGATTGTGAGAAAAATGTGGGCCACAATTTAGGGTTAGTTTAATTAAATAAGATAATCCGAAATAATCAAATTGATATATATCTGGATTAAATATATGATTAATTAATTTAACTAACAATACTGGCTAGGGCGCAATTTTTTTTTTTTTTTTTCACATACAAAAAATCCAAACTACCCGATTAAATAAAAATAACTTAAAAATTAACGGTTTGAAATATGTTGAAATTGAAATAGAATAGTAAAAGAAAAAATAAACCGAAAGAAAAATTTTGTCCCTGGGTGTAATATTCCGATTTTTGGAGTCTATAAAATAATATTATTATAGCAAATAAATATTTTTATAATATTTTGGAATCAATAAATTGATACTCTGGAATAAATTTTATTCCTATTTTATATATTGATTATGATTAAAAAGACTGTTAAACGGATAAATATCGATAAAGATAAATATAAAATATAATATATATAATAATATAATAATAATAATAAAGATAATGATGATGAAGATAATAATAATAATAATAATAATAATAATAATAATAATAATAATAATAACGTTAATAATAATAATATAATATAATATATATAATATATATAATAATAATATAATTATATATATTTATACAAACTCAAACCTTACCTGCGAAGGACGACCAAAGCAGAAGAAGAACGCGATGGAGAAAGAAGAGAAAAAAGAAAAGAAGAAAGAAAAAGATTTAGCTGTTCGATATCTATTCCGACTTCGGTATTGTATTTCTTGTTATACGTAGAATTTAATTATGAATTTTAATATGAATTTAGATATTGAAGATATTAAATTAGAAATTCTTAAAAAAATTCATAACTGGCTATTTGTCTATTTAATCGACGAATTTCTTTAGCTAATAGCCTATTCGTAGTCCTAGCATTATATTCTGAGAATTTCGTATCGATCCGAGTCGAATCGAAAACGGCATTGTACTGCACCTGCCTGTTTATTCATATCTTTAAGTAATTTTATTTAATAATCGGGCGATATAAATATTATGAGGTATAAGAATTTTATAGCTAGAATATCGTAGTCTACTAAATATAAAAGTTAGAAACCCAACGAGCTAACTATAGAAATTAGCTTTTGAATAAGCAGGTAGCTCCTATAAATAAGCATATAGCTCAGCTGAATTGAGTAAATAATGGAACAGGTGTACGTTGGAAGAGATTTGGGTGAAATTGCGAAAGCTAGGGAGTGTCGACAAGAGGTAAGCAGTAGGGAATTAAATCTAATTTTAAGAAATTAGTATGCATGTTGCATGCAATTCTGAATAATATGTTAGTGTGATATTATGTGAATCATTTTGTCAGTGCATGTATATATTTATATATATGTGTGTTTATGCATGTGGGAGACTTCACGGTTTATGATATTTGATATACGTATTTGATCGCATTGGTAAATTTATGAAAAGGAGGATAGGTGAGCTGTCTCACCAGCCCTTTTCGGTAAATTCACTTATTTGGCATGTTGCACACATATTGCACGATTTATCGGATGTGTTTTATGGATCTATTGTCTAGTCGCTGTGTGCGGTAGTGCTAGGCGAGGGCATCATCTGGGGTTAGGATATTCGACCCCGATGTACCGTAACACTTTGGCGATAGTGGACGATAGTAGTCGGACAACTGGGTGACTTAGTCGCACGGTCATTCAGGGATTAGACCCATGGTAGTTGAGACGTATTTGGTCTAATCATTCGTGTTCGGTGTTGTTCCACTCATTGGAGTAGCTACTAGTGAGGTCTACCGGTAGTTTAGGATCATATGCCAAACTCCAAACGTGATCCCGTTAGGGCGCGCGAGGAGGAGTAGAGTTTCCGGGTTTCCCTTGGGTGATTCCAGGTTGCACGGATTCTACTACATTACACGGGATAGGGCTAGTCAGCGGGGGGTCCTATCTTCGCTATCACAGACTATGGGACGTCTTGTGGTTAATGGCGACAACGTTCGGCTATCCATGTATTGATTGTGGGAGTGGTATGGTGGGTATATGGAAGTGACCAGATGATCGTTATATTATTATGGGTTTACAGGTCCTTCCTTGACCCGAGGATTTTCCGGCTATTTATTGATGATGGTCTAGTGAGCTTGTTATTACGGGGCCGAGGGTATTCCGGCTGCTCACTTAGACAGATGTAGTGAGTCTATGATTATGGAGCCAAGGTTATTCCGGCTGCTCACTTTGGCGGATATATATGTGAGTGTGCATTGTTGTCGAGTTTGATATCTGTATTGCATCATTTCACTATTGGCATGACATGACACGTATTTTATGATTAACGGGAATTAGACTTTATTTTAAAAAGGTGTGAAATGACATATTTCACGTTAGTTCTTAAAATAGATTTAATTCTGGACTGCTTCTAAAAAAATATTTGTTTCAAGTATGCATGGCACATCCGAGACAGGGGACGTCTCGAGATATAGAAAGATGGGCTGAGTGAGTGAACTTACGTCTATTGTATTATATGTAAATTTTTAACCGGAAAAACCTCTTGTTAAGGGGTGTGTTTTGTAAATATTTATAAATCAGATTCTGTTGTATAATAATGCGCTTTTATGATAATTTTAGCCTTAACATTGTATTGTGGGGCCCGAAGTAGGAGGTGACGACCTCATGATGCAGTGTGGCGGTAGCATTTCCAGTCTGAGCCAACTGGGGGTGTTACATTGGGAGTGCGGGAGTTAGTTCTGTTGCTGTGTATAGATATACATATATATTTATAGTTAATTTGTATAGACGAATCCACACATGATGAGGAAGTAATTCATACAATGTTCCCTTAAAAGGTAATACAAACTGTGAAAATTTTCCTCATTCGATCACATTAGAGAGTATCCAGTAGCATTGTCATCACTGAGGATCCTTTCTTCACCTGATATATGATGTTAGCCATTTTGTAATTTGTTGTTGTTTTACTAATCTTTGCCATACTTGTCTCGACCACAAATTACTTCACTTGTAAGTTGTAACTACTTAACAATTGGACACAATCTTTGCAATAGTTTTACCCAGAGTGTCGTATATTCCTAGAATACATTATGTATTCTAATTCCTAAAGCTAACACCTAAATATAGTGATTTGGTTGCTCCTGCAACTAATCGACAATATTATTCTTATGGCAATTCGGTACCAACATCTATTTACAGTCAAATTGTGTTGATTTTCGTTGTGTATTTTGGGGGAAAAATTCATTGTGTATTCATTCAAAAAATAATACATATATGACCTACAAGGGGCAATATTGACAATACCAATATATACATAATTATATAGCATATATACTAACATCCCTCCTCAAACTCAAGGGGGTGCCGTAGACATCAACTTGAGTTTGCGTAATAGAATATGGAAACGACCAGGAACAAGAGATTTGGTGAAGAGATCGGCCAGTTGAGCTTCAATGGAGATCG